TGAGCCCCGCTCTATCAATGAATGCAAACAGAGACAAGATTGACCTAAGTGGAAAGATGCAATCCAGGCATAATTAAATTCTTTAAAAAGGCGAAATGTTTTGGATTAGTAGTCCAAACCCCGCCTGGTATAAACCCCGTAGGTTACAAATAGGTATTCAAAAGAAAGCGAATTGAAAAAAACGAGATTGCAAGATATAAAGCACGACTCGTTGCACAAGGTTTTTCGTAAAGACGTTGAATTGATTATGAGGAGACATACTCTCTTGTAATGGACGTAGTTATGTTCCATTACTTAATAAGTTTAGTGATTTCAGAAAAACTTGACATGCGACTTATGGATGTCATCACCGCGTATATATATGGAGAATTAGATACTGACATATATATGAAAGTCCCAGAAGGACTTAAGTTGCCTGAAACAACTAACAAATCACGAGATATACTCTCAATCAAATTAATGCGATCATTGTATGGACTAAAACAATCTGGACGAATGTGGTATAATCGTCTTAGTGAGCATTTGATCAAAGAAGGGTATATCAACAATGTCATTTACCCTTGTGTGTTCATTAAGAAATCCAACTCTAGATTTGCTATCGTGGCAGTATATGTCGGTGATAGGAACCTAGTTTGAACTTCTAAAGAGCTCAATAAAGCTGCTGAATATTTGAAAAGCGAATTTGAAATGAAAGACTTTGGAAAAATAAATTATTGTCTCGGCCTGCAGATCGAGCATTATGCTAGTGGAATTTTGGTACACCAATCAGCTTACATTGAAAAAATCCTAAAGCAATTTGACATGGACAAGGCTCATCCACTCAACATTTCAATGGTCGTTCGTTCTCTGGACATTAAGAAAGATCCATTCCGTCCAAAAGAAGATGATGAAATGGTAATTGGTCCAGAAGTACCATATCTGAGTGCAATAGGTGTTTTATTATATTTAGCATAATGTACTAGACTAGATATAGCTTTTTCAGTCAACTTGTTAGTAAGGTATAATTCTGCTCCAATAATTCGTCATTGGAAGGGAATCAAAGATGTATTGCGATACCTTAATGGGGCAACAAACATGGGTTTCTTCTACTCAAAGAAATCCACAAATAACCAAGTCCTTGTTAGATATGCAGATGCTGGTTTTCTCTTCGATCCGCATAAAGCTCACTCACAAACTAGATATATGTTCAAGAATGGAGATACAACAATCTCATGGCACTCAACAAAGCAAACATTAGTTGCTACATCTTCAAATCATTCAAAAATACTTGCTTTACATGAAGCAAGTCGTGAATGTTCTTGGTTAATATCAATGATCTATTATATCTGAAATTCATGTGGTCTAACTTCGAAGACAGACAATCCAATTGTCATTCATGAAGATAATGCAGCCATGTGTTGCCCAAATGAAAAAATGATTCATCAAGGGCGATAAGACTAAACACATATCTCCAAAGTTTTTCAATGGACATGAGCTTCAGAAGGTTAAAGTTATTGAATTCGGACAAATCTGTTCTAATGAAAATCTGGCAGACATGTTCATCAAGTTTTTACCAAAGTGCATGTTTTATAAGTTAGTGCAAAGTATCGGATTACATCGACTTACCATTTAGCTAAATTTGAAAAATGCGGAATCAGGAGGAGATACATATCAGGGGGAGCACCCATGATAAATGCATGTTGTACTCTTTTTCCTTCGATTAGGATTTTTTCCACTGGGTTTTTCTTATCAAGGTTTTAACGAGGTAACATAAGCATATTTAACACTATATCAACAATTCAAGTAAAGTTGTACTCTTTTTCCTTAGCTATGGTTTTTTCCCACTGGATTTTTCCGAGCAAGGTTTTAACGAGGCAACTGATGTTGATATGTGGGCATCCAAGGGGGAGTGTTGAAAATACTGGTGGGTTAATGAATGCCCACAGTGATATTGAAAACATTGGTAGATTTTTCAATACCCACACAAAGTGATATTGACTTGGGAAATGAAGGAGGATCGTATTGTCAAAGGTGTGTGTTGTAAATTTCAATGTATAGTTAATACGTTTGTTTGAGTTGCTCTATAAATAGAGTGCTCTGTATGCTTTCAAGATACATAGAGAACAAGGAAAGATCAGTAACATCATTATCTATCCCTACATCTTTTATTTGTCATCCCCTTATGTTATAGTTATAGTGTAATATTTTACACCTACTTCGCTCATGTCACTAGTAAAGGTTATCTCTCTAACTTTTACCTATTTATAACATCATCAAATTATAAAAGCAGTAATTCTTCTAACATGTACAGATATATACGCATTATATATATATATATATATGTGTGTGTGTGTGGAATTAAATAACTAAATTACCCAAAGTAGTGCTTGGATGGAAATGTAGCTTTAAAACCAGCAAGATGAGGAGGCTGGCTGGTTCATTTAGGCCAGCCAATTGGCTTGATAGGGTGTTTTTGGTCTGGTGGGGTCCATGAGCTCTTTGACCTAGTCTTCGGTTGGAGACGATTTTCGTGTCATTTCGGCTATTTTTAGCCCTCTGGCCAGATCAGTTGGAGATAGCCTTAGTTAGTTTACTAATTCGTAATGAGATTTAAAAGAAACAAAATCTAAATTCGTTGCCTTGTTGATTGAGTTGTGAAAAGTACAAAAAAAATGTGTGAATATTATCTTTTTAAAAGTTTAGTACTGAATTGTCGTGTCCTTGTGCATCAAAGTTGGTCTCGTGAAATTTTCATTTTTATCGTGAAATTTTTTTTGTTGTTGATGACTTTGGTCGTTTGAGTTTGTCATGTAGTTTTGGTCCAGTTTTTTTTAGCAAGCTCCTCCTTCTTGCTATATGTTGCTAATTGCAAATATAACTGGGGCCTCGTGACCTCATGATATTCTTATGTAATCTTTCTTTTCTTTTAGGTTTATATCTCGTTGTCAACAAAAGAAAAAGTAAAAAGAAGTTATGAATACTATCAAATTATGTGGACTATCATAAATTAATTTTGTGAATATTTTAGACTAAAAATATTTACATTCCGATAAACATTTAAAAATCACTAAACCGACACATGAAACTCATGAAACACTATTGTGGATGCAAATTTCTTCCTCCTTGTTCTTGGACAAAATTACACCTACAAAACAAATAACACATTTGGTCAAGGCCAAGAGCCTCACGCGCCCACGATGAATGAGGGGCTTTAGCCAAAGAACCTTCGATGTCAAAGTTAGAATTTTGAGAGAAAAGTGTTCGAAGAATTTAGAGAATTTTGCAAGGGAGTTGGAATTGAGTTTTGGAGAGAATTAAGGTGTTTATATAGGGGTGTGGCCGGCCACTTGGATGGTTTTGTGGGTGAAGTTCATGATTTGTGTTTTATTAGCAAATTAATTGAATAATTAATCAATTAATTAGCTAATTAATATAATAAAAATGAATGATTTAGGGGTTACCTTGTGGAGAAGATATGATGAGGGATGGATGAAATAGGTTATAAATAAATACCTATTTGGGCACTTTTGACTTGATTGATGGATGTCCACTGCTTGAGCGTAAGAATTCCGGTGTGCCTCGAGGGTAATTTTGTCATTTTTACCCAAAAATCCATGTGTCGTCTCTTGATTATTTTTGGCTCCATAAATGCCCCCACACCTGTTGGGCTGCTCGTAGGAAAGGGCAGCATGTATAGAGATCTCCAGCTTTGATGTAGATTCTCACTTGGACTTGGAATTAGATTCTTCTAGGAAAGGGAAATAAATTGCCTCCAAAGCCTATTTAAGTCTACCTTAAGTAGGGGATTAAATCAACTTCGAAAGACAATTATTTGTCCTACAAGAAATAGAGAAAACTAGAGGATATTTGTTCCCCCTCCCCTAACACTATTCTTTGTTTGCCTATGCAAAAAACCGTCTTCCGTTGATTTCTTTGTCTTCTTCGCGTCGCATCGATGTAAGAAAAACTTAATTCTCCTTGTCTTCCTCATGGGTGATGCTGTCATGGGGCAGCCGTCGGGGTGGTGTGGCGCGTCGGTTGATAGGAGTCAAGAGTTGACTTAGCATGGGCCAATGAGGTAGTGTGGCAGGGGTCAATGCTTGTGCTGCTTGGTTTGACTGAAGCCAAGGATTGGCTCGACATAAGCCGAGGAAGTGGTGTGGCATGTGCCACAATTTGGTCTGCCTCGTTTGGGCTGCTTGCCAAAAATGAGGAAACTGCTTGAATTTGATTTATTAGCTGTCGTAAATGAAGCAGTCAATGATGAAGCTGTTGAAGATGAAGTGTCGGCTGAGCGAACTGTTAAGTGCAAAGTGGATGCTACCCCCTTATTATTTGTTGCCTAGTTAGTCTTCAAGCATTCGATCTTTTGAGTTATGTGACCTTCTCGCACTAGAGAGCTTACCCAGATAAGTGTCGGGGAATTAGTTTACCCTCTTGCACAGGAAAGCAATTAGTTTACCCTCTCGCACTAGAGAGCTTACCCATATGGGTGTCGGGAAATTGGTTTACCCTCTCGCACTGGAGAGCAATTAGTTTACCCTTTCGCACTAGAGAGCTTACCCATATGGGTGTTAAGGAATTAGTTTACCCTCTCACACTGGAAAGTTTACCTATATGGGTGTCAGGAATTGGTTTACCCTATCACACTGGAAAGCAATTAGTTTAACCTCTTGCAGTGAAGAGCAGACTTATACGGGTGTCGGGAAATTGGTTTACCTTATCGCACTGGAGAGCAATTAGTTTAACCTCTTACATTGGATAGCAGACCCAATATGGGTGTCAGGGAATTAGTTTACCCTCTCGTATTAGGGAGCAATTAGTTTAACCTCTCGCACTAGAGAGCAGACCCATATGGGTGTTAGGGAATTGGTTTACCTTCTCGCACTGGAGAGCAATTAGTTTACCTTCTTACACTGGAGATGTCACGCCCCAGACCCGGAGTCCGTGGAAAAATTCAAACCCGAGTCTGAAACGCGAACTAAAAACTAAATAAATAAAATTAAAACTAAAACAGGGTGGAAAATAAAATTCTTCTTATTTAAAATAACTCAATAATTCTTTACAAGGCTAAATAAATAAATATAAATTCTAGCCTCACATCTATTTCGTCTCATCTTGTCCACCCTTTTGACAGTTTGGTTAGTAAACCTGCATAAAAATTGAGGGTGAACTTCAACAGCTTAGTAGGGACATAACCTTACCACAGTAAATTGACAATTTAAATTACGTGTTATAATCATGTAATCAAGTACCAAATCATTATCAATAACCTGCACGTCCCATACCGTGCATTTTACCTATATAGTGGTGGTTCGAATGTTCTAATATACAAATTAATCCCATGTAAATCAATCATCCCAATTTCCCCCTTTGTTAGTCATCTTGCCAAAACCCTTCGTCGCCAATCCCGAATTACCCAAAAGAAACTGTGCACTGTGGGCTCGCCTGAGACTTGGTACCTACTAAGAGTTTGGCTCAACTACACAAAAGATCCTTTCCAACTACCCTTATTTCTAGAATTCCTTCCTGAACACCGAAACTCCAACCACACGACCAATTATGAATGATTCACAAATACTTTCATTTATCATTCACATATACCATAATATATTCTCAACAAATAGCATTTCATCAATAATTCCATAACCAATAACAAGTAAACAAGCAAAGGCAGTATTTATCCAATTAGCAAGCTAGATCACATTAATCAACCAAGAAGATCGATAATAATAATATAATGCTTCACGAAATTTAATAAAGCTAATCTCCGTAAAGGTCTGCCGTATTTCCCCTACCTTCCAAAGCAAGCAATCAGGAACCAATCATATTGACCACACCTTGTGAAATCCAATGTTCTCCCTTTATTTTCCACATTCATTTCTGCATTCAGTAACCCAAGAATAAAACCATAACCCTTAATTAACAAGGTTAAGATCATTTTGTGCCAAACAAATCTCAATAGCCTATATTTCTCATATTAAGGTCCCTGCTCTACTTATTTTCCTTTTCTTTCTTCCTAATTCCTTAATCTACACGTGTAGATATATATACATTTATGCATTCCCTCTTATTTTACAGTTCAACCTATATGAAAACTCTTCATTCTCTTCCTTCATAATCGCACATCCCTTTGCATATATGCATATATATATATATTAGCTTGTATAAATACTTAAACCTTAGATTCCTATAAGAGTATCAAACTAGCTTGAATAATACCACCCATGGATCACGACATATGAGTTAACTTCATGGAATTAATAAGAGCTGACTGCTTCTATTTAGGTCAATCCCTTATATTCCTCATTTTAGTTTTAAGGAAAGAATAAAGAATAAGAAATCATTACCTATAATTTGGGTGCCATAGCGTTAACAGGGGTGTAGTGGATTAATGTCTTAATCACTTCCTTCTTTTTACCGGCCGGTCTCTTTGTCCCTTATCTCTCTCTTTCTCTCTGCAATTCCCTTCTTTTTTTGTTCTCGTAAGAAACTAATCTTTGCACCCTTGGCTCAAAACCTATTTATAGGAAGTTAAAAGGCAGCAGTAGCTCTACTTTGATTGGATGGTCTAGCGGCAAGAGATAAAACATTAACCTGTTACAGATATGTGCATACACGTAGATGAGGTACTGTCAACAATATAAGGATGCTCTTATCCTACTTATTACTTTTCCTAATCATTTCATTAATCACAACCCGTGTTTACCCAATTCCAAATCAGAACCTCAAACTCACAAGCTTATCCAACTCAAACTTAGAAAGACCTTCACGTGGCTTCCATCTACTTCCTATGTATATTTATTAGTGACTAAATATCTAACCTTATGGAAGACCGAATTAAACAAAATGAAGCATACAAGTACATAAAAATCAAAATCTTTTCCCTTATCACAAATATAATATAATTTAAAATATGGGCCTTTACAGGAAAGCTTACCCAGATAGGTGTCGGGGGATTAGTTTACCCTCTCGCATTGGAGAGCATGAAAGTCGTTGTCGTGAGTGCAGTTGAGGAAAGTTGGATTGCTGGACAACTGAAATAATCCTCAGCCTGCTAGATCTTGTTTGGCTATCTGCTTGAGACTTCGAACTGCTTGTGAAACCCACGTAAGTGTGTAAGTGCAATGAGCTGCTCCCAGAATTATTACGCCATCATTATACGTTTCGTCGTGTGCCCTTTTAAGGCTTGGTTGGCACGAGCCACATGGCAAGATCGGTAAGGCTGGAAGTCGTGTTGCAAAATTGGCATAATTATGAGCCATGGTGATAGATCAATGACTGCAAAGAGCCGTGAAGTAGGTAGGCACAGCTGTGAAAGCAGTGATAGGGCTGGCTTGGGCCAGTTTATGTGCAGCAAGATGAATTGGACCACTAGGTTAGTGATGCTCCGTTACTAGTGATGTGCTGCTTCAGTATTGAATCGTCTGGGGTGTTGAGAACAAGGCATGCCCCCGATTCTTGGTAGTTGGGCTGGTGTGTCATTTTGGTACTCATTTGCCCCTAACATGCCATTAGGCTGAGCTGCTATCTTTGTCGAAACAGAAGTAATCTTTGTATTCGATAATATATGTGAGATAGTCCTGTTTGCTCGATCTTGTCATGGAAAGATGACCCGCTTATGTTGGTCATGTCTTATCGGAACGTCTTGTTAATAACTTCGTTGCGTTGGAAAACGCACAATCGCTTGATCATGAGCCTTTCTACTTTTTTCTGAATTTGCCTTTGCTGGTCTAGGCTACTTTTCCATGTGTTCGGCTCGTCTATGCCGCTGCTGCGGTATATGTGGTATGTTCCTAGCAGGCGAACAGGTAACTCACAAGCTGCTGGTTGAACTTGAGCCGAATTCAATGACTGTTTCTCTTCGTCCGTGTGCTGTCTACTCCGATGTGAGGTGGATGATGCTCCTTGCGAGCCTTGCCGCGAGTGAACACTTTGCCTGGAAGGTTGCTCATGTTGATTATCAGAGTGTGGCCCTAACTATGAGTGTATGTTTGTCCCTGGGCCTAACTGAGAGTGCACGCTCATCCGCATGCTAAGACGAGAAAATAAACTATCTGGGGGGCCCAGTGGGAAGTGTACTCCATCAGAACGCTCGGTTCGTGACTAGTCAAGTGGTTGCTTGTTAGGACGCTGCTGGATAGGTTCATCATTTGCCCTTGTCCTACATTGGGACACCTCGTCTGGGGCACGTTGCATCTCGGTACGCTGTAATAGCTGATTCACTAAGATTGTCTGATGTGGGAGGACGTTTATCAACTCTATGACTTGTCGAGACAAATGTTGTTCGCCATCTGGGTTGGAAGAGCTTGGACGAAATACATCTCCTTGAGTAGTGGAAGTGTAATGGACTTCAGGTGCGAGATTTGAGTTGGGATGTCAAATCTCCAGAGAAATGGGGTGAAAATACCCCAAGTTTAATCGTTAGTCCTGAAATCTTAAGCTGGGACGGTTGAACCGGTTGGGATTGCTTGGTAGTCCACAAGAGTGGGTTGGGCCTCAGATTAGACCGTGGGAACGGGTTGGATCCCCGGTGCAAGTAGGGCAGCTAACGTGGATTGCCCTACATGAGGTGTGCATGGGCACTGCTGAGTTTGGGCTCTGCTCGAGACAACGCTGGGCTCGCGCTGGCCTTGGGCCCACGAGCATTAGGCTGTTTTTCTTGCCGCAGCTGCTTGGGCTTGCGCTGTTGAGGTAATATCTCGGACCGGCTCGCGCTAGGCCTAGCTCGGCTGCCTTACATCATGGGTTGCAAATTGGGCTATATGCCAAGTGAACAAGGCTTGGGCTTGCACTGCTGGGGTAGTGGCTTAGGCCTGCTCGCGCTGGGCTTGGCTTGGCTGCCTTGCAGTGTGGGCTACAGATTGGGTTGTGCACCAAGTAGACGAGACTTGGGTCTGCACTGTTGAGGCAGCGGCTTAGGCTGCCTCTAACACTTGGGCTTACTGCCGCAAAGTGGCATGTGCTTGAGCTTGTGGTTGCCTCGCTACTCGCTGTTCATCGTGGGCTTGCTGATATGGAGCTGGCCATTCCTCACTGCCACATTGGTCCCCGTGGCTGCCATGGTGGTGGTGCTCTGTGGTGGCAAAGTTAATCCTTTTGCCAATGCTTTGAGCCTCATCGTTGTGGTGGGGCCACGTCTCGTCCTTCATCATTTGATCAGGATCTTTGAATGTATGAAGTTTTGTTCGTCGTGGTTTTCGAATTTCCTGTCATTGTATTTTTTTCCTCACCTCTATTCAAAGAATTAAAAAACTCTAGGAATAAGAAAGCATGAAAAAATTACGAATGAACGAGAAACAAGAAACTTTGAATGCAAGAGTCTTCTTCGAGCGTCTGAATCAAACTCTCAATAAAAGCACCAATTTGTGGATGCAAATTTCTTCCTCCTTGTTCTTGGACAAAATTGCACCTACAAAACAAATAACACCTTTGGTCAAGCCCAAGAGCCTCACGAGCCCACGATGAATTGGGGGGAAGAGGGGCTTTGGCCGAAGAACCTCCAATGCCAAAGTTAGAATTTTTAGAGAAAAGTGTTTGGAGAATTTAGAGAATTTTGCAAAGGAGTTGGAATTGAGTTTTGGAGAGAATGAGAGTGTTTATATAGGGGTGTGGTCGGCCATCTTGGGAAGAGATGGATCGGCCACTTGGATGGTTTTGTGGGTGAAGTTCATGATTTGTGTTTTATTAGCAAATTAATTGAATAATTAATCAATTAATTAGCTAATTAATATAATAAAAAATTAATGATTTAGGGGTTACCTTGTGGAGAAGATATGATGAGGGATGGATGAAATAGGCTATAAATAAATACCTATTTGGGCACTTTTGACTTGATTGAGAGATGATTGTCCACTGCTCGTGCGTAGGAATTCCGATGTGTTTCGAGGGTAATTTTGTCCTTTTCACCCAAAAATCCACGTGTCTTCTCTTGATTATTTTTGGCTCCACAACTATGAAATAATATGAAACACATGATAAAGATAATTAAACACAAGACACATGAACAAACACATGGTTTTGGAAGATGGTAGAAAGAAAAATTGGAAGAATTGTATGAGAAAAGTGAGTTTTGTGTGGATGTTTCTACAAATACATAGGTATTTTTAGAGTTTTTGGGTGAATTTTGAGTTAAATAATTTTTTATAAATATTTTAACCGTTAGATTTAAATTTGGGCTGTTAATATTTTTTTTATACCATTAGATTTGATCATATTTGATATCAGTTGTTGGATTCAATAAATTTATAAATATAAAAATAAAATATTATCTAAATTAAACATGGACTGTTGAATAACCAACAACCCATTTGAATGTGAGTCGTTGATCAACCAAAAGAGTCGTTGGGCTCAATTTTATTGGCAGACAAGTGGGAGACACACCCATGTGGGTGAGGGCCGCAAGGGGTTGCACTTTGCAGCTTTCAAGTTGGTTGAAGAGTGTGGCTCAAGTGGCGCACGTGAATTTGGTTGCTTGTTGTCCAATTTCATCTGTTCCACTCTCACATGGGCTCCACCACTAATCTTGGCTGTAATCTAGCTTTTTTTTAGGTTTTAGGACCAAATTAGAACTTGGGTTGGAATGAATTGGGGGGAATAGAAGGGAAATTATAGGTTTTAGGCCATGGGTTGGAGTTGGCTTAATAAGATTTAAAGGAAACAAAATCTAAATTCGTTACCTCATTTATTGAGTTATGGAAAGTAAAAAGAAGTCTATAAATATATATCACCTCTAAAAAGTTTAGAATTGAATTATTGTGCCCTTATGCACTAAAGTTGTTCTTGTGAAATTCGTCATATCCATTGTGAAATTTTTTTTTTTTTTTTTTTTTTTTTGGCTGATGATTTGCGTAGTTTGAGTTTGTCATGCAGTTTTTAGTCTATTTTTTTTAGCAAGCTCCTCCTTCTTGCCATCTGTTGCTAATTGCAAATATAACTGAGGTTGCGTGACCTCGTGAGATTCTTATATAATCTTTCTTTTCTTTCAAGGTTATACCTCCTTGTCAACAAAAAAAATAAAAATAAAAAGAAGTATATGAATAATATCAAATTGTGAGTTACTTTTTTGACGAATTACTTTGATTGTCGTATTTGGAAGGTCTTGCTTTACTTTCTATGGGTATCTTTGATTTGGGAAAAGTGGAAAAGCCATTATATTTTTCTCCACCATGTTTATTTACATGTTTAGTTTTCATAATTGGATGAATTTTAGATTATGTTTACATGGCATTCAGTGCAAAGCAGAGGCAATCAGGCAAAGTGCAAACAATCATAATAAAGAAATTAAAGGATCAAACCTATTTTGTTGCAAGAATGGAAATTCTGATGTGGGCTTTGACGCTTCGTTACAGATTTTGGTTTCAGGAGCATGCGGCATAAAAAGGAGAACCGGGAGGTGGAGCTAGGACTTCTGTTGCTAATTTTGTGATGAGCGACAGTTTTTATAGGAGAAAAGAGTGATACTTTTTTTTTTTTTTTTTCTTTTGTTGGAAGCAAGGGAAAACAACCAAGGCACAAAAGCCAAAAGAAAAACAGGAAAGCCTACAGAGAGGCAAACACCAAGAAGGCAAACAAGTAATGAATAGGGATAGGACATAAAGACCCCTTCATCGAGTGGAAGCGTCACCCCAATCACCACCACAATGAAATTAATGTGGACACGACAAACCATCATTGTTCAAAACAAAGTTCAACGAAGATGGGGGCCGATCGACCCAAACAAAATCACTCATTTCCGTAAAACCAACCAACGTAATCTCATACGCCGCACCATTAGCTGATCTGAGCACCCAGGACCAGCGACAGTTCTGGAACTCCCCCTAGTTGCTTGACCCAAGCCAACAATGGGTAAGACTCTTAACTGCCCATATCCAAAGAACAAGAAAGACATTTAACAGCATCAAGATAGTCATATTCAATAATGACAGATGTGACACCTAAAGCAGCTCCCAATTCACAACCACGAAGCAAAGCGATAGCCTCAGCAGCAATAGCCGAGGAAGCTTTAAGAAAGTACCTCGAGGCAGCCACAAACCTCCCATCCTCATCCCGCATAATCACCCCAGCAAAACCCAACTTAAAGACCTTTGACCAACTAGCATCCACATTAATCTTAATGTTAGGAGAGGCAGGAGAGCACCACCAAAAAACCTGGCCAGCCCTACCTATCCCGTCCGATCTGCAAGACCCCAAAACCGTCCTCTCAACCAAAAAAGAACCCAAAGCAGAAAAGACAACAAAAAGCACTTTAGAAGGGTTAATAGGCACCTGATTAAACACAAAACACAGCGTGCCTTCCAAATAAACCAACAAGTAAAAGCAATATAAGATTGCAACCACTTGGTATTTGAAGAAAAGCTAAAAGAATGAGACAAAATAGCCTGTAACCAAACCACCCAAGAAGGAAGAGCAGAACAATCAACTTTGTAGTTCAAGGCACCTCCAAACCAGATAGGCTCAACCCAAGAACATTGAAGAAATAAGTGCTCAATAGATTTGTCATGACAACGACAAATAGGACAAGCTGGGGAAAGGGAAGACCTCCGGCGAAAAAGAACAGCACAAGTAGGGAGGCAATTGTGCATAGTGAGCCAAAGAAAATGCCGCAGCTTTGGAGGCACCTCAAGCTTCCAAATAACTTTCCATAATGCCTTAGGGACCACGCAGGCATCAGATTGCCGAGTATCCCTCAAAACAATCGATCTACTTTGAATCCAACGATAACCCGACTTGATCGAGTAGGTTCCATTCTTGCTATAATCCCAGACAAGCTGATCCTTGCGACTCAAATCACCAAGAGGTGTATCCTCAATAGCCTGTTGATCCCTCACCGAGAGGAAAGACTGCAGAAGGCTAAGATTCCACTGCCTCGAAACCAAACAGATAAGCGAATTAACAGAGTGATAGTTTTTGTGAAAACGAAAAGGCCACTACAATCGTACTTTTTGTGAAAATTGAGAGAGAAGCGATAGTTTTCTGACAACAAAGAAAGAAAGCATTTGGCTGTTTTGAGAAAAAAGTTATGGTATTTCGATTTTTTAATTTTAACGGGTATTCAAGTTGATACGATATTGAATCGTGTCGTTATCGAGTAACTCGATAAGCACATGTTAAGCTAATAAGTTGGTTCAGGTATTCACGTGGATAAAATATTACACAATAAGAAAAATATTAATTTAATAATATTATGCTACTAAAAAAATACTATAATTACCAACGGTAGGATTTAATTCCGAATTGAAAGTTAAAATATAAATATATATATATATATATATATATATATATTTAAATTAAATTTAGAAAATTGATGAACGTTGGATCAATTAAGATTTAATCTTGGGCATCCGATGTTTTTCTCAATCTTAAATAAGGCTCTCTCTTATTCTTGAAGGCTCGAATTTAAGCAGCCACTCTCCCTCTCGAACCTCAACTTCGGCCAACCACGAGTCCACCACCACTCTTTCTGTTACTATCATTTGAAAAAAAAAAAAAAAGAAGCAATACTTTAAATTATAATTTACACACCCAATATAATTCTTTACACACACACACTATCTCTGCAACCAAACAAACCCCACGATATGTACGTAAATAGAATAAAATAGCTTGATATTGGTAATTTTAAGAGGTAAAGTGAGACGAATTTAATTTTAGAGATAAAATGAATTAAAAGATATGGCTATCAATACACACACACACACACACACACACACACACACACACATATATATATATATATGAATCTCATATCTATTAGCTAGATAGTACAAATGTGGTATGAAAAATATAAATTTAGATCATCTTCAGATCTATGTGTTTTAAATTTAAGGACTTAGAGATTCAATTGTTGAAGAGAGAGGTCATCCTCTTTATTTATCTTAAATAAACCAATAAAATAAGCTAATAGAAACCATAAAATAAAAATTGAATGATCTAATTTCTCCATTCATAAACTCAGAACACAAATAATAAAAAATAATTTCAATTAAAAAAAAGGGATAAAAATAGCAACTTTCAAACAAAAACAGTCAAAGTTGTCGAACAGTCACAGACAAAACTCAGTACATTTTACAGGCGGCAATCTCAAAGTCCCACCCTCCGCTGAGTGCCTGCTTGCCGACCCAACCGACACTCAAAATTCAAAATTTGAACTTCCTCTTCTCCTCCTGTTCCTCCAACTGAACTGAAATCTCCAAATTTCAAACAAACACAACTCAAACAAACCTCAGAAAGTCAAAAATCTTCATCTGATCTGGTCCCAATCCCAAATGGCCGCCGCCAACTCTTCTGATTCCTCAATTCCCTCCACTCCTCCACTCTCCTCCGTACGCACGCTCCTCCTCTTTATCCTTACCATTTCTTTCTCTTTAATTTGTAATTTCATGTTTATGAACTTGGAATTTGGTTTTGTATGATTGCAGAGCAAGGAGAATGTGACCCCGATTGGCTCCAAGCTTGCGGTAAAATTTTTTATTTGTTGCTCTTTTTTTCTTTTTTTTTTACATGTATTTTGTTTAGGGTTGTGAGAATTCAAATTAGAAAACCCCAGATTGTAATTTTGGATTTAAAACTGTTTTTAATTTGGTCCACAATGTTATGGTTGTTCATAGGAATTGAATGAATCGAGGTCTGAGCTACTTGGTAGAATTCAAGGGTTGAAGCAGGTGAAACAACTGCCACTACTTTCTCTCATCTGATCACATAATGGTGTTTGTGCCTAATTTGCTTGTTTACTGATTTGGGTAATTAGGATTTGCAAAGTTGGAGGTCGAAGTTAGACACTCAAGTGAAGGTCTACCACGATGTAAGTGTTTATAATATTTTTTTATACATTTGGAAAAGCATGCATTTGGATTCAGTTTATAGTTAATCTTGGTGGGATTATTTGTTCTTGCTAATGTATGTGTGGTTAATGTACGATTTGGGTGCCTGTTATTTGGAAAGTAAGATGATTTGGTTGGAGGGTTAGTTCAATTGAGTTCTTTCTTTGATCACTGAATCAAAATTTACCAAAAGTTCTTTTATATGCATTTGAATAATTAGCTTTTGGAATTCGTATGTTTATTATCTTAGTTGATGATGTTTATGTTGTGTGATTCAACTTTTGATCTGTTGAGAACACTTACGGGTTTCATCAACAAACTATTTTCTTGTTCATATTCTCAAACCTCAAAACCACAACTGTTGGTGTTTCCCATTGACCTTTGATATCTATAAAACACATATTTCTGACAGATGGTGATTGAAATGGCCAGAAGTACAGAAATTGGGTTGTGCATCAAACTTGGATGCAAATACTAAATACGAATAAGTTTGTTGGATGTGTTTGTTTTGTTATATCGAATCTCTCTTCTGATTGGATTTGAGCTAAAACTTGTTTGTTCATAGTTGTATTGCTTTCTTTTTGCAAGTGTTAACCATGTTCAACTCTTGATCCAATTCTCTTCCTTAATGCAGGAGCTTTCAGAACTCAAGAAATCCCTCAACACTGAAGTGGATCAACTTCGATCTGTAAGTTGTGCTCCAGCGATCAATATTCGTCCAAATTTGATTTTGAAATGTGATCGTTTATGCTAACTTAAGTCTTTGAACTGAAACTAGGAATTTCAAGATCTGAGGACCACTCTTCAGCAGCAGCAAGAGGATGTTACAACTAGTCTTAGAAACTTGGGGGTATGTTACACTGCTTACGGGTGCATCTTTTGAGTAAAAAAGTTAGCATAAGAGCTGGATTAACGTCTTATTAATTTCTTCAGCTGCAGGATGTCTCAGGAGATAAAAAAGAAGCCCAAGATACCGAAGAACCAAATGTTTCAACCAAGGTGGATGAGGCCAAAGAAGCTGAAAGCTAGATTGACTTCACTCCGGAGCATGCATGGCATACGTTCGTTCCTAAGTAAATTGTGATTCTTCGTGAATCTGAAATTTGTTATGGTGGTTTAGAGAGAAGTTGCCACAACCTTCTTGTCTTGCGTAACGCACAACTCGTTTCTGAATCAAATTATGTAGTATTAACAATATCCTCAGCGTAAGCAGCTTTCTATCAGTTTTTTTCTCTCCTCTCATTTGTGCATCCCCGTTGTTAATATACATCCAACGTGAGATGATTTACTTTATTGTCCTGGCAACATGGTTGTGCTGGAGAACCGATCCAGAGGACGACATTGCTCGTGTTATTGTGAGTGATGCTGTCACTGAGATTGCGCTATCCGCAAGATGCGTGCTTAACATCGGATTATCTGGCGCCGCGGCAGCATATGTATAACATCGGATTATCTGGTGCCGCGGCAGCATATATGATTGCACTATACATGTATACCATGTGCTGGTTTTCCTACCATCTCATGGTTTTTGGAGTTGGCAATGCGTGAAGAGAGCCTCGTATCTTTTAGGCGCTAATGCAAAGCTTCTTTCATTTTCCGATGTGAAATCTCTCAACATGCATCTGGAAAAACTTAATTATATTTATACCAACAATCGTGAGTGATGAGACGTAATAAGTGTTGTAGGAACATCTATCATCTTGTCAAGATACCTGCGGTCTGGGGCCTTTGGTTGTCAGGTCTGGGTCGATAAGGCCATCTCTAACCGAGGGCTGGCCAGAGGGCTCGTTTAGCCCTCTGGCCCTCCAAAAAATTAATATTTTAATGAACAGTACATGGTCATATTTGCCTCCGTCTCCAACCGAGGGCCATAGGGTCAAACATAATTTATTATTTAAAAACTACAACTTCAATTCAAATCCAACGGCTAAGTGACGTCAGCTAGCCGTTGGTAGCTGACATCATGCTGACGTCAGCTAGCCGTTGGATTTGAATTTTTCTTTTGCTATAAATATGGTGGATATTGGGCTATAATTCACACAACTTTGAATTCAATCTTTTTCAATTCAAGTTTGCAATGAATTCCAACTTTGGATCCTCTTCGGATTCCAACTAGGGGTCCTCATCTAATTCCAAATTGGAAGAAAATTGGGCGCAAATGAGACGAGAAGATGAGGAGTCTGATGAAGAAGTTCAAGGCGCAACAAACAAAACAGAGCAGTAGCCATGGTGTGTCAACCAACTGAGGAACAACCTCAATAGGGTGGCTCTATTGTTGGCCGCTCTTACAAACCACAAAACAGAGCGATGCCACATCCTCATTTGATGAACAACTACTTCAACCCCAACTCGGTGTACACAGAAGACGATTGCATACGTCGTTTTCGAATGAGGCGTCATGTCTTCGAGCGTTTACTTCGTGATGTCCTGCAGGTCAATCCATACTTTCGACAAAAGCGGGATAGAGCAGGCCGCCCTGGTTTCTCACCTCATCAGAAGGTTACTGTTGCACTCCGAATGATGGCTTATGGCTCCCCAGCTGATTCGATGGATGAAACTCATGGTATGTCTGAGTCTACATGCTTTGATACTCTTGAACAATTTTGTGACACAATTGTTCAGGTTTACAAAGATGAGTACCTCCGCGAGCCAAATCAAGAAGATCTGAATCAGCTCCTTCGCAAAGCTGAAGACCATGGGTTTCCGGGCATGATAAGGTCATTAGACTGCATGCATTGGGATTGGAAGAATTGTCCTATCGGATGGTAAGAAGGCTTTAGCAGAAGGTCGAGAAAGTCAATTGTTGTGTTAGAGGCGGTTGCCTCATATGACACATGGATCTGACATGCTTTCTTTGGAGTCCCTGGATCCCAAAATGACGTTACAGTTCTTGGGCATTCACCCCTCTTCAATAACTTGACGGAAGGTAAAGCACCTTAACTTGACTACTACATCAACAACCGTCAATACAATATGGGATATTACTTGGCAAATGACATCTACCCAAAGTGGGTGACACTTGTCCAAGCAACTTCAAACCCTATGAATGACGCAGAAAAGTTGTTTACCTTACACCAAGAGGCATACCGGAAAGATGTTGAGAGAGCTTTCGATATTCTACAAGCATGGTGGAAGATCATTAGAGAACCGGTAAGAGGGTGGAGTCGAGAAAATTTGGACTCCATCATGATGTCTTGCATCACATTACACAATATGATAATGGAGGATGAGCGAGATGGGTATATTGATGGAGAGTCCGATGACGACCAAGAAGATCCAAATAGGTCAAGAATGGCTCGTGCAAAAACATATGATGGGACTAATTTTCCTTTCAATCCAAGAACTAGTAGTATATCTATAAATGAGTACATGGAGGAGCTATAAAATGATACGTTCTCGTGCCACAAACAAGTACCTACAGCAAGATCTTGTTGCACATCTTTGGGCCAAAAGAAGCATGGAGTAGGCGTTTAAGTTTTATGTTGTTAAATGTTTTTAAAAATATTGTTTGAGTTTTATGTTGTTAAATGTTTTTTTTATGTTGTATAATTTGTATGTTGGTTAATGTTATTTAATGTTGTTTCATGTTACTTAATTTAATTTAATGTTGTATAATGGCTTAGGAAGTTATAGGAAAAAAATATATAATTTAAAAAAAAATATGAAACAAATTTTGTGAAATAGAAGTTATAGGAAAAATTTTGTAAATAAAAAATAATAAAAAAATTGTAAATAAAAAAAAAAAAAATCAAATGCAACGGCTAGCTGACATCAGTTAGTCGTTGCATTTGAATTTTAGCTTAAGGATTGACAGGAATAATGATTTTTCTGGCCAGCCCTCCAGCCCTTTCAGATTCCGTGGGGCCCTCTCAGATTTCACGAGCCCTCTGACCCAACCCTTGGTTAAGACGATTTTCAGGCTATTTTTGACCCTCTGGACCCTTCGATTGGAGATGGCCTAAGGTGGTTGAAGGTGGTGGCAACTCTTAATGTGACTAACAAATTTCGTACTCTAAGTAAGTAATCATTTGAATTGGCATCTACCCAAAAATAATGGGTGCTGCTATTCACACATCAATTTTTACTTTTTATATATCCCTCTCAATTTTCGATCATCAGATCGTATGAATCGAAGAAAATCAATAAACAAAAATTAATAAGAATATGTAAGAAGTAAAATGAAGTGTGTGAATTACATTACCCAAAATAAAAGTGTCGGTGACATGCAAATGTCTTCCGTCATCATTAATGCATGGAGAGAGTCTTGTCGTAATGATATGATCAGCCTCATTGATCAGCAAACTACATTTTCCAAGGATTTAGGTGCCCTTAATGAATCGAATTTGGGGTTTGTTGCGATGTTTATGATCCAAATAATTAAAGAGTTCTGGTCTGCAGGGGTAATTTTTGTATAGTGGATTTTGAGTTGTATTATTACTGCACATTTAAATCTTCATTTATTTAAAGGGAATAGTCAAACCAAGATTTTAAAGGATTTTAAAAATGATAGATTTTATGGGATTTAAAAGGATTAAAGACTCCTACAAAATTCATATGGATTTTAAAGAATTTGAATGGATTGTGGTGGAAGGATTTTGAAATTCCACAAAATCCACAATTTATTGAAATCCTCCAAAATCTTAATTTTTTAAATACACATAAATTTGAATGGATTTTAAAATCCTTTAAAATCTTTTAATTGATTACATCTAGATTTGAATGGATTTTAAAATCCTTTAAAATCTTTTAATTGACTACACTAAGATTTTAAAGTCTTTTAAAATCCTCTCAAATCCGAGTTTGACTACACCCCCTTAGTACACGTCATATATCATAATACAACAGAATTTTTGCATATTTTATCATCTTTAATTGCAGTTTTTAATTATTCTTTACTTTTGACCAAAAAAAAAAAATCCTTTACTTCATTTTTGTTTATTTCAATTTATAATTATAGTGTTTTTTTAATATTTATACATATATTCTCTACCTCTTTATAGACTTAATCATAAGTTAAAACAAGATTAGACTTTTTAAATTACTCTTGTTTAGGAATTGGATCCCATTCGGATCCACTTTGTGGGGATCCTAGGAATCCCCACACCTTAACTATTCATCATGTATCGTACGGTTAGAAAATCTCTATATCAAATAAACACAAATAGTATCTGATAAAAACAAAATGGATCCAGAGTGGAAAGTAGAAAATCTCTATATCAATTTAATTATTTATTTCTTGTTTTATTTATTGACAGACATGGTTAATTATAAAATTTAAATGGTAATTTCACGCCCTAAATAATTAAACGTACCAATAGATGATATTAGAGTTGAGGAAAACTTCAAGTTCAAAAAAGAACTGGATACGCTAGGGGGATCGTATTGTACCATCCTTTTAACATATGACAAATAGAGTTTACCAATACAAGTAAGTTACATATCAATATAAGAGAAGACATTACGCGGTCTACTAAAATGTGATCTCCTTAATATTTTCCGTGTTAATTTATTAACATTCAAAGATGGCTTCATGTTATACTACAACAGCATAAGTTTGGTTGGTTTCCAGGGATAATGAAAATGGAGCAGCTTTTTCTTTTTCTGTGTCAATTTGTTTTATCTGTAATTGACTGAAACGAATTGTCCATGTCCTCTGCTAGGTTAAGTGCCCATCAAGCAAGCTCAACTTTAATATATGAAGTGGGAAAGTTTCTATTTATTACTTTGGGGCTTCTGTATATCCAAACCTGTTGTATGTATACTGCCTCTTTGTACTCCAAAGGTCAAACTAATCTACTTTTTATTATTTTTATTTATTTATTATATTTGTTTCTTGAGGGTTTTGATTGTTTGAGAGAGAAAGGCCTGAACTTGAATTCAATGTCCTTGGGAAGCAACGGATTTATCATTGAGAATTTGAGACCTCTCACAAATGTGACTTGTGATCCACAAGGCCTCTAGTTTGGGTTAAGATGTTGTTTGGAATAAGTTACATCATAATCCAATTCGATCTCATTAAACTTTTAAGCGTAACTGTCACACCGTCACGTGATGTTATCAGTTCACAATCAATCAAGTCAATCCATTATAATGAATGAAAGTGACTGTCACATTATTCTTGTTATAATGTGGTATAAATATGTGGTCTCTCTACCATTACTCTTATTACAATGGATGACCATCACACCTAAAATCTCATTAAATTGCACGTCACTTTTTTTTTTTAATATACAATGATATATTGCAGTAGTGGTTCGGTTAAGTCACACAGTAAAGCAACAATAATAACTTAGTACTCACTCATAATCAAACCTAAAATTTCTCACATACAAGTGAAGAAAAATATCACTAGATCGTAACATTATTGACAATTGTTTGATATTGTTTTAGTTTTTGAGATCAGTATGATTAACACACCTTAATTACTACTTCCCTCATAAATCATCAAAGGATCATTAATTGTAGTCAAATATTACATCATTTTTTTGGTTGAAAAAGAGCAGGAACTTTGATAGCTGCGCACTCGCTCTCCTCCGCATACTTGTGTTTTATATTACACTCCCATCTCTCCTCTCACTCACGTTCACCCCTCTTCACTGTTTTACCTTCATTTTATACCTCTGGTATTTGCTCTCTCTCTCTCTCTCTCTCTCTCTCTCTCTCTCATGGCTTCTCAACAAGAACCTCTCAAATATCAGGTACACAAACAAGACACATTGTTCTTCTTTCTCTAACTAACTTGCTACTGTTCTACTTCATAATTTTTTACACCATTTTCTCTATTTTTTCTTCAGACATGGATCTTGAGAGTTCCCATGCACTGTGAAGGTTGCAAGAGGAAGGTCAAAAAAGTTTTACAAAGAACTGATGGTACAAAATTAATTACCTTTTTTTTTTTTTGTGGTAAAATACATATTAGTCGCTGTGTTTCTCCTCGACTTTAACTTTGATCACTGTATTTTAATTTTTTTTTTTCAATTTAGTCACTGTATTTTTACTAAAATTTTTATTGCAGGTGTTTACACCACAGCTATTGAGTCACAGCAAAACAAAGTAACTGTCACTGGAAACGTCGGCATTCAGACCCTCATCAAGAAGCTGGCCAGAAAAGCAGGCAAGCAAGCAGATGAATGGCCGGAAAAGCTTACCGGAAAAGAGAACAAGTCGGAGAAATGCAAGAACAAGGAGAAACAGAAAGTCCCAAACCAACAAAGTGTAGAGAAAGTTGAAGTCCACAAGCTTACCACTGCTCAAAACAGAGCAACTACTACTACTGAAACCGACCCAAGTAAGTTTCCCGGCGAAACTTCGGGGAATAAGGCCACCGGAGGCGGCGGGTCTCCGGCCGTGGAGGTTCAGATCAGTGAAAGTGAGAAGAGTGTGAGCAGCAAAAAGAATAAGGGGAAAGGCCCAAAAGATGATGAGAGTGGTTCAGCAGGCTCTAGTGCACCAGCATGCATAGGATCTCAACCAGTAGATCCAGTTGATCTCTTCCGCACACGCCAGATGGCATATATGTACCCGCTGGCTCCTTATCATTGTTATGTTCCATCGTCACCGTACACGTGTGCACCAACTGGTCATCAAGAGGCTGATGGGATGAAGGCAACACATCTGGAGAGTTTGCAGGTTTTCAGTGATGAAAACCCTAATGCATGTTTTATCATGTGAGGTTTGAGTTGCCAAAAATCAAGATCTAATGGCTAAAACATACCACAACGTAATAGAATTTTCAATTGTAGTGAGGAGGAAATAAGAGAATATTAGAGTGGAGAACAAGTAGGGGACGTTTGGAATTCCATTAACATGACTAATGTTGTTTGTGCACAAAGAATCATTTATGCTTAATTGTTTAGACATGCTTCTGTAAGGACTAAAAATGCATTCAAATAATCAGACATGCTTCTGTAAGGACTAAAAATGCATTCAAATAATCAAAAGCGCTTTTGATAACAGTTAAATAGTGTTTTTGAGTTATAAGAATGTGATTTTCAGTAACAGTTAAAAAGTGTTTTTGAGTTATAAGAATGTGATTTTCAAGAAACGCTCAAATTTTTTCTAGGAAGCACCAGAACTTTTCATAGAAACTTTAGCTTTGCTCAATTCAAATAAAAGCGTTTATATTGAAAGCGTTTATGTTGAAAGTGATCATGAACATAAGTGCTTCTTACAAAAGCATTCTCAAATTTGCTCATAGGGTTCCTTGTGAAGTTGGGAAAGAATAGAATCCAATCACTATATTAATTCCCATCTGAAACTGCAATTGACAGTCTTAAGAAAAAGCTCAGGTCAAAAAAAGAGCAACCCATCTTTATTCATCAGTAGCTGCCAGAAAATGTTCTTTTCTTTTTTTTTTTGGTTGAATGCTAGAAAAATATTCTTTAATTATCAGCCAAAAAAATAACAAAAACAGCGATCCCAAGGCAACAAGGCTTTCTGCTTTGTTATAATCTTGTAAAAATTGCCAAAATTGCAAAAAAAATAAATATAATTTATTTGCCCTTCTTGAACAAGCCTCTTAAAGGATAATAAAGATATGTAATTTGCAGACGAATGCAATGAAGCAGTCTTTTGCCAAGCAAAACTTGATAAACTATAAACATTATTATAGAGCAGGAGCAAAGTATATCTCTGACATCCAACTATATACAATTTGGAACCACAAAAATATTAAACATTCTATTACACCACAAAAAATAATCTTACACGCAAGTTGACGCCCTTGTCGTGCGCTGATTTGTCCCGAGAATAATCACCATTACTGTTACATCGTCGTGATACTTCCTGCGCCTTCCTGCTGGAATGTTCATGAGTTCTTCCATACTGAAACCTGCAACGAAAGTATTAAGGACCGGGCAAACAAAAACTATGCAAAAAGACAAGTTATTCTGTCAGATAAAATAAAATGTAACCAACCCTGTTGTGGGATTTCCTATTTGAAGACTTCAGAAGACCATACTTTAGAGAAAAATGTGTATGCATGCCTTAGGGTGTGGTGTGGTGGGCGGAATGTATATATTGATATCATCCAAGTTAAACTTGGTCTTGAAATGTTTCAATTTCGGGATCAAAACTGGAGTTTTGTTCACCCATCACCAAAAAGTATTTTCTATTTACAATTAAGAGGAGAACATTATAGGAGAAGTTAACAAACGACAACAAATCAAACTGAAACTACTTATTTTAAACTGAAAGATCTGTTATCTTTCAACAAATGCAAGATGCCATATGGTAATAATACCGCATAGGCCATAGAAGCAGGGCCTACGAAGCAGAGAAACGAAAGGGAGAGAACTAAGAGCACACAACATGGAGGGTGAGCGTAGCCTTCTCCAATAACAAATCAATTGCTTTTCTATCTTGGTTAATCCGATCAAGGGTTAGTTAAACATGCTTCTGTGTTTAATAAAGGTAGCCGAAATGAAACAAAGCAAACTTGTAGGGGATATGGATGGAATGACAACAAAATCTCCACATGATATAAAAAATGTCTACCTGCAGAATTGGCTGCTCTTACTACAAGCTGCTCAAGCAGAAACTTAGCTGGATCGCCGGAGGGGTTGCTCAAGATATAGGAGTGGACAAGCTTTACTGCCTCGTCATTGGTAAAAAAGTCAAACAAGCCATCACTACCAAGTACTACAAAGCAATCAGATATTGATATTCTATGCACATTCAACGATGGTTGAGTGGAAACATATGGTGGGCTTATAAGGTTACGAACTTGAAGAATTCCCATCAATGCATCATTCAGGTTTTTCTGCACAAAAGTGAAAAGAAAAGAGATTCAGTAAAATCCACTAATGGAAAATATATTGATTATGAAGAAGGGGCATAAGATATAAACACACCAGATAATGTCAGTTTATCTAAAAAAAAAACTTCTTTTTAACCTACTTGGTGTTGGTACATAATTGTTAAACAATAAGAGTGACCACCTTTTTCAAGTAACCAACTCCAAAAGCTCGAGTGACCTTCAATTTCCCTTTTACTTTTCCAGCCACGACGGTCATGGGATCGTCAGGATGTTCACACAAAACTCGCATTCTTTCACTTTCGTCATCAACTGTATGACTATCAGTGAGCTGGATAGCTTTTAACCTCTCACTCCGACTCATTAAATAACCATCACCATATGTTGCCAATACAGCTCGGCTGTCACCTAAATTTAGTGTGTACAAATCCTTCCCATGTAGAAGCACAACTAAAACACAAGACCCAACAGAAACTAAATCTGGGCGATCCACCATTTCCTGGTCAACCATGTACAGAAAATCATTCTCAGCCTGACTAAGAGCTCGGTGGAGACTATCAAGCACCCTGTGCCTAAATGAATCAGTTGATGTTTTTACTTTAGCACATGGAGCATTCTCAGAGATATGGTCAACACTTGAATCCTTTTGTGTATAAATTCTGGATGAAAATCTTTCTTTGCTGATAGTATTTCTACCATCTCCTATAAATGGAAGGGACCCATCTATATGTAGACCATTAGAAGTTTTGATGGATTCCTGACTTGATTCCCAGTCTAATGAATTAAAGTGAAATACGATGGTTTCATACAGTGTCCCAGCCAGAAAATCAGCTGCGTCTCTTCCATTGAAACCATCATAAATTGCACAAAAGAGCCACTCATTTTCTTCAGAACAAACAGCTTGAACCCTGTCTTCACCAGCAGCTCCACCCGCCACTTGCACTTCCATACCATTAAGAAAACCTTCATTTCTGGAAGGACTCGTGGTTTTCATTAAGTAAGAATCAGAATCAGGCGTAGACGGACTGCAACTTAAGTTTGACATACTACTCTGAAGAGAAGATGATAATATATCCAACCTCGACATAGCTGGTGAAGAGGGAACTCTACGAAATGAATTAGGAGAGTCCCAACTAGGAAGTATTTCTACCCCTATCAAACCATTGCAGATATTTGTGTTTGCCAGAGTGGCATTTGCTCCTATTGCAGCACCAGACAAGCAAGAGAAACTACTGTTCCTTCGGAGTTCAGGCAAGGTTTCATATTCATCGGAATCCTCACAAAAACTGCCTCTGTTGCTATTGCATTGATAGCCAAAGCTTACTTTTAGTTCTCCTTTAGTTTTAACCATAGTCTCTCCTCACATGATCTACAGATGAAAACATACAAAATACAAACATCTTGGTTATTCATTAACTCAAATGTTTGCAACGTGACAACTTGGAATTGATTTGGTTATCTTTATTGCACGAATACCATTTTTTTTTCAAATATGAACTTATAATTCATAACTGTACCGCTGTTTTTCAAAGTGTGTCATTATAGCGTTCAATGGTGAAACATTGGAACTATTGAAAATCAGTTGATATAACTACAAAATAAAACAGTAAAAATACAGCTTCTCAACTCCAAATTCTTTTATTTATGACAATGATGTAAAAAGTGTGCGCCTTTGATTGGATGTGTGAGAGAGCAAAACGCCAAAAGAGAAATTTTCCTAGCTATATGCCACAAGAATGCATACATCTCCAAGTTCAATGATCAATACTAATAATTCAAATGCTTATCCACAACAAGAAAACAGACACAGAGAAAAATAAATTGAGCTGATCAACTAAACATGAAGCTTATGGGGGCTAATAGCTTGTGGTCAAGAACACTACTCTGTCCCCTTACATAAACTTGACGATCAGAGAAAACAGAAGGAAACTTAAAAGTTAGAACCAGGGCAGTGTGACCGGCCCGTTGCATTCAAGTTCGAATCCCCCCACCCCATAGATTAGACTAGTTTAGAATAGAATATCGCCTTGTGAAAAAGAAAAAATAACTTAGAGCTTAAGGAAATTAGATAAGAAAATTACGATAATTCGAAAACAAATAGCAATCATAATAGCATTCTATCCTCATTACTCCATCGAAAGATAAATAATTGGCAATAAATATACGGTTCCAAAAGTGATTCTTTGCATTTCAGACGCAATAAAAAGGGTGAAACAATAAGCAAATTCAATCAAATAAAAGGTTCAGAAACGTAGAGAATATGGTTCAAACACAACCCAATAAACATTAGTGAAATTGCAATACATTATCGAAGAAAAACACGAAGAAACGGAGCAGGGATTGAAAACCCACCTGGGTTTGTTGGTGTTCTTCAACAAAGAGGCCTCCAGAAGAGCAATGGAAGCAAACAAAGAATGCAGCTAGTGCTATATAACATATATATATAGGTGTATATATAAAAAGAGTGATGGAAGTGATAAAGGGTATGACTTTGGAAAGAAAAAGCAAAAAAGCAAACAAAGAGCAGATCTGAGAGAAGGAGAGAGACCGACAGAGAGAGAGAGAGAGAGAGAGAGAGAGGTGAGTGGAGTGGAGAATCTGTATCTGGGTGGTACATAAAACGGGGGAGGTGGAGATGGAGGTGGAGGGAGAAGAAAGGGAATGGGGAAAATGGATGGTGAGGAAGGGGTATATGTTGAAATGAGCGGAATTTGTTTGGCTGGCGTTCTGGCTTTTTGTCTATTCCTCCTCTTACCGGTAATGCCGTTTTCCAAGTTCCATTTCAACTCTATCATCATCAAAATATTTATCATGCTTATTATATTATTCCTTTCTTAACCCTGAAAAAACAAAAATTATCATATAAGTCATATAATTAGCAACAATAATTCCATTAAGGAGGTATTGTGTGGGTGAATCGACACATAGTATTACTAATTCACTAAATTCATAATAATATTATCATCATGGGGTGATATTATTGTATTTTAATGTTGTATTATATGACAAGTGATATATGTGTGTTATATCAATTAGTAATATCATTGCATTAAATGTTGATATTATGTTCTGCCCACATTATGCGTTACAAGATAATCTCCGTACTAAAATGTACTTTGAAACACTTGACAACAATATTTCCACTTGTGACATATTTACTTAATAGAAATGAAAAGTAAAAATTCGGAAAATTTAGTAATAAAGTGAGGAAAGAAAATCTAATTAAAACCAACTAATCCCTCTTCGTTAATTTGATACATGATTTTCATGTATTGGATTACAGGTTTGAAACGAAAAACTAAATATTTTTTTCTTCTATTTCTGTATATGTAGTAAACCTAAGAAAAAACTAATACTTTGATGATTTCAATACTCATATTTTAGAAAATAAACCCAAGAATCATAATAATTCCAATTCTCATTACCTGTACGTGAACAGTCGAGTAATGATACACTTACCATTAATTTGTACTATTCCTCTTATAGAGGTAGGGCCTAACAACACAAAGATTCCATCTTTATTAGAGAGATAATATAAATGATGGTATAAATAGACGATAAGAATAACATTTTTGGAATATATCAGTTGATAAAATAATCTACGATAAATTACAGGAAAAGAATAAAAACTTGAGTAAAGAAAAAGAAGCACATTACTCAAACCAACTTAATTAAAACTCACATCTACAGAATTAACCTGTCATTGACCTATAAATTATAATGCTTTAGTTGGCCTAGCCCTAGGAACACATGCAAACTACAAGTGAGGTATTTTGTAATTATAATTTTACGAATTAATAATTTAATTGGGCGGATGAAAATAATTTCTTATTTTTATATTTATTTTTTTAACAAATGATAAAATAAGCTACATTAAATATATTTAAACTACAAAAATATAATTCAAACACAAGTTGTAAAAAGATAAATACACTACTTTAACCAATTTGGTTAGGCCAAGTTGAAATATATAACTTGTGTCCTTGTTTTGCTCTTTGTTTTTTTAACCTCTTAACAAATGTCAACGAAGGTCTCCGTCACATGATCTATTTTGGCTCTGTTAATAGGTCATCAGATGTCATGTTAATGAAAGATGGCCTTAAACCCTAACGAGAAGCCACATTTCAGCCGAAAAGATATGAAGCCAAAGAAAATAAGAGCCAACAGAAACTTTTTCTAACCGTCACCTGTGTAAAGCTTAGTTGCCTAAAACAATGTGCTGTATCTTTTAAGCCCAAATTCGAATCTTCATCCTCATAAATCAGATGAATTCAACGTAATTGTCCTATCGGTTATCAAAAGAAACTTTTTGACTGAAACAAAAGTGTAATCCAAATTTATGTACAATTCCAATAATTTTGTAAGAAAACTAGTGAAAATAATTTGAAAATTGAGTTTTAATGATAAGGACAAAATAAAGGGTAACATAAATAGTACCAAAATTGACTTTTTAGTGTAAAAATATGATTTTTCGTTAAAATAAACAGTACTGAAGCTTTTCGTTAAAATTATCTAATTTTGTGGCAAATAGTGACTGGGTTCGACATTTTGTATGAAAATTTTCATGCAGTTTTAGATGTCGACCGTGGACCACACACGTATGGCATCTCCTGGTACACCCCGCAGGCATTGCGATTTCCGGCTGCCGGATGAAAGTTTCGAGTCTTGAACGGAACTTCAAACCAGGAAATCCGAACGAGGATGGTGTCGCCTTCGACTCGTCCGTCCGAACGAGACAAACTGCGCTCCTTGTCTATGCCTGTGGAGTGTCGATGGAGTTTCTCTGTATACACTAATTAAGCGGCAACAGTTTAATAAAATACTGAATATATCATGATCACAATACAAACAAATTACAACCAGTGATTCACTAATCGTAAAATCCTTTTAAAAGCCTGAAAAATTTATAGTTTTACAAGAACACTATAATAAAAGTTATATAAATTATCAATTTTTACACAAAGATGCAGATCTTTGTATCAATGAGAGAGCAAAATATTACATCAAGAATTAGGACCCGAGTCACCCGATATTGTAAAAGACCTTTGTCGATCCTTTCTTCGTCCGTAGTTGAGTAACCTGAACAAGTAGTAAAAGACCTCACTTGAATAAGAGTAGACCAACAGATTCTTTCTTGAAGCACTCACTTCATCCTACTAATTTTGCGAAAAATTTGGGACATCAATCAGTTCATAAGAAAACTGAAGCAAATGGATCTTACCGTAATGCTCTTGATCTCTGATATATCAGAAACATGGGTACCGCCACACGGGCAGCCAAGGCTGTCCCCTAGCTTCACAATGCGAGGAGTGCTGTCCTGCAAGAGATCAGAGATGCAAAAAAGTAAATGCAGTTGAAGTTAGTACTCGACAATTTTCAGCACTAAAGTTTGAAGGGTCCAATATGAGCATGTATTGAAAACAGGTCCAGTGTAAGGAATAACCTTTGCAATATAATCGGGAAGGCAATCACCACACAGCTTACATGCTTCTTCATATGGTAACAAGGCAGCAGAAACCTTACAAAAATATGGTAACGGATTAGATCTAATACCCCATACCAAGCATGCAACTTTAGATAAATCCTAAATATTGCAACTCACTTTTCCTCCTCTCGATATTAACGCATTAGCTTCTACCTCCAACTCCTTTCGCTTACTTTCTGTATCTTTTTGTGGAACTGTGCCCTTATATTCCACATATGGCCTGGAAATATTATAAATTTAGAAGTACTAATTCAGAAGGATATGCAAACAACAACATCGTGTCTCAAAGACCAAAGACTGTTCACATCTCAGAATCCTGAGGCTGGCAATGAACTAATTTAAATTTGAGAAGAATTGGTGAAGATGTGTTGCTTCAATCTGAAGCATGTGTCATCGACTCATCGCTTATGCCACTGCTGGTTTTTTTGTATGGCTTATCTGTTTTGGGGTAAAAGCTTATCCGATATACAATAGTGGCCTCATGTGTCCTACAAGACAACTCCACTGGATCCTCAATCCAAAGGAACACTATTGACCTAATTGGCTCTAAGTAGCGCATTTATTTGGTGGCTTATATTGGGCCCCATAACCCTTTCCACTAGAAGCACATACAGGAGACTTTATGGAGAAGGTTTGGAGGCCTACATAAGGCAGCTGCTGCCCAAGACAATTGGGTTGGGGGGGGGGGGGGGGGGGGGGGTGATGGTGAAAAGTTTTCACTTTAAAGCCCACGAAGACTGATCATTGTGCTGTTTTCCACAGATAGATTGACTCGTCGAAAGTTGAAGTACAAGTGAGTGATTACTACACTCAAAAGGAAGGATCATTGTGCTGTTATGTTGAAAAAAATCCTGGCAGCTTACATTAAACATATCTAAATTGAGAGTGATCGCGTTTTTCTGTTTTGTTTATTTGAAGATAACTACAAAAAATTTCAATACAAATTGCATAACAAAGAAAATTGCCAAGAAACGAGGATTGAGGAAAAAATTAGAAACAAGATTCTTGCCAACTAATCATTTAGTTCCCTGATATTAACAGAAGATTTTGCAACAAGAAACACACCTACACTTTGTAATCTAGGCTTAAAGCAATGAAGCAGAAATAAATCATACCCCTGAGGGAAATGGTAGCCTTTGGTTGGCTCTAAATCACCCAATCCCACATTTCTCATACATGTATCCAGCAAATGCCCAGCTGAGTGAAGCCTGCACATAAACAATTCCACAACATTCAAATTATAGAACACGAAACAGCAAGCAAGTAAACCATCTTCGGAGTTTTTTGGCCGAAAATCGAACTTGGTTTTGGTTATACAATAAATGCTCAAACAAAGAACAAGTTCAGCAACTTAATTATAAATATAAACAATCAAATGATCCGATTTCTTCGAGTAGATGCGTACCTAGTATTAAGCCTGCGCCTAGACTCATCCACACACAACAGCACCTCTTTCCTTTTCTCGAATTTCGACTCCGATTCCTCACAGGAATTTTCAATGAAACCGTAGTGGTAAACCTAATCAAAATCAAGTGAAACACCAATCATAGACATTAATTTTTTATTTTCTAATCAAACATTTGAAAATTATAGAGAGAGAGACCATATCAACAATTTGATTACTTACTATGCCGTCTCTGGACCGCACATCGTCTACTACGAATTTGACGCCGGAATCGGAAACGGAGATGAAGCCGGTGTCGGCAGGTTGCCCGCCACCTTGGGGATAGAAGATCGTCCGGTCCAATACCAAGGCGGTTCGTCCATCTTCCCCCTTTCAAACAACAAAGCACACGGTAAAATCCAATTAGGGATTGCATTAATTTTCTGGCAGTATTTTCTCGGGAAACAAACAGAATAGAAAGGAAAGGAACAAAGAGTGTGAAGTGAAAAGCAACTGACTTTAGATACGGATAGCAACGTGGCGGTGGATTGGAGCTTCCACATGTCGTCGAAGTAATCAAGCTTCGTGGAGCCCGAGCTGCTCGAATCCATGGCTGCCGGCGAATGCCGATTTGAACACTGAGCCGCCGCGGCGTTCGGAACTCGTAAGCAGTTGGGTGGCGCTGGCGGCTCTTGTAGTCCACGGCCTAAAATACAATGCCCTGTGTCGAATTTTGAAATTTTAACCTTTTTTGAAACTTTGACCTTTTAGTTACGTTTACGTAACGCAATCTATTCCCATGAAGAAATTTCCGTGTTAATGAGACCTGTTATTTAATGCGCACGTGCTATAATAACAAAAGATGGTATGGTAAGACTGTCAATAAAACATTACTCATATCGTTACGTATTTTACTCGTTAGATTTGATTTTTAACTATTAGCATCGTTAAAAAAATTTACGTACTATTTTTTTTTTCACTTTGTTGAGAAATTTTTTTTATTCTATTGTCGATTTAGAGCAACACCCTTGAGATTGTGAGTGTATTGTCGTAGACGACGACCAGTCGGAAGGGAAGAATTTTTCTAATTTGTCGCACTTGTCCAACCTTGGCACCTTTTTTCCGGTAAAGATTTGTGACCGCCGGGTTTACAATTTTATGCCACATCACTGCAGTACCAAAAAGGATATGTTCTAGCTATTTGCTTGAAGCATTTTTTTATGGTTGATGGTTTGAGTTTTTCATGGCCGAAAATTTCTAATTGGAGTGTGTCTCGTTCGCAATTGATGCTAGCATATATCTATAATAAAAATGCAATATTTATGAAGTATGCTAGTTTTATCAAGACACATTCGTAGTTTAACTCATTGATTAGTATTGACTTGGAGTAATTCGAATTTGGAATTTTTTCTTATGCCAAGTATCACTTTCTTTTTTTCTTTTATTGATGTTAGGCGAAATGAGTGTAGAAAGGAGAGGCAATGACCATTATGACCTTGAGTAAGTAATAGTATTGTGCCATCTTTTTTTGTTTTCTAATCATACATTGCATGCTCTTTGTACAAAGTTCTTAACGTGTAAAAGTCTAGAATACCAATTAATGCATGTTGAAGCCATGTCTTAAGTAGTAACAAAATTAGATAGAACATCTTTAGCAGTGTTTTTGTTTTTCTTACATTTCATCTTTAGTCAGATCATATGGGCGTTCACACTATTTCACAATAATAATCACATTATTTAATTGCTTCTTGTACCTGCAAAGCAAACTGATTTCGTTTTGTCCTTCCCAAGTTCTTGAGGCTTCGGCTTCTGCTCTTCAGGTACTTTTCACTAGGGTTTTTGTATTCTAATTTAATGTATTTTTAAGCTTGGCAAAAGTAAGATACAAAACGTAGGGAAGCTTTTTTTTTGGTTCAATATCTAGAAGGCTTTTGTTCAGGCATCGTCAATGGCCTCTCACGATATCAATGAAGAAATACGAAACGCCTCATCGTCCATACAGTCTTCCAAACGAGCTTTTTGTCGAAGACTCACGAAGGTTGCTGTGCGCTCTTTCGATGATGTTTACTCGGCCAAGTTAAGTTGCAAGAATTTCAACAAAAGCGCTCAGGACAATCAAATATTGGAGGAGGTCACATCAGCAAGATCTCGCTGGTTTCTTGGCGCGAAAGGAAAAAACTCTCCCGATCACTGGAACACTGCAGGGATCGCGGCAATGTCAGGGACTTGTATAGGCAAGGGATGTGCGACCTCTTCACAGGAAAGAGAACAGAAATCGAAATCAAGTCTCTAAAGAGAACGGCCTCAAAGGGTTACATAGAAGCAACCTACGTGTACAGCACGATCTTGGTGCATTATGGGGTCGATTTCAGGCAGAAAGGCCTCAAGCTTCTGCACTCGCTCAACCGTCACAAATCGAAAGGGTTGAGCGAAACAGAATCCAGAGAGGAAATGTTCCGTAACTATTGATAAAACATTGCGTATTATTCTACGCATTGACAATTCACACGAGTCTTGACAAAGTTGATGACAATTCACAAGTGAGGGGGATCTAAACTTGTGTTACTTGCTAGAGAAGGCAATACCCACAGAACATAATCCATGTCGATGCCTATAGGAGTCAGAGAAATATTGGGGTCACTAGATCAAAAGCATGTATTGTCCTGGATTTCATCAGAGGTCAATTTTTGACATAGATCATAAGATAATCATGCAAATTCCGTGGAAATAATTTTATGAAACCAGAAATATAATTAAGGTACTCAACGAGTAGAAGTTTCACTACTTAATCGTCAAAAGAACAGCCCATTTCAAGAACACCAAAAGGTTGGGAACTACTTGCAACGTTCAGTAGTAATTGAATAAGAAAAAACCCTCAACATCACATAATTTAGTTCAGAAATTAAACAACTCATCCCCATTAACTGAAGAAGAATCATCTCTTTCTACTGTTTAACTTCGGTTTTCTTCTTCTGCCAGAGACGGTCCAAACCACTGTCGGCCTCTCCCTACAAAACAAAAGAAAGCACAAGAAATCAGAGCACAACAGATGGAATATCAATATTGCAAATGACCGATACGAAATTATAAGAGGATGCTAATTATCATTTGAGAACAACTGAAAACCTAATAAAAAACCATTAGTAACCCAATATTTTTGAGTTTGACTGTAGGCGTCAATATGATTTTGTTTAAAATTTATCAGTAATCGAACAACTTCCAAAACTGTAGTAGCACTTGTGTCCCGATACGATAAAAAATGATAGCTGAATAAAAAGTGATTGTTTCGGCACAGTTAAGGATTTACAACCGCAGCAAGACTTATTCGATGTGTGACTTGTATGTTATTTTCTCCGTTGTGGGGTTCAAATCCAGCCTCTGAATTCATGTACTTTGTAATATTGCTTAAGAATGCAATCTTACAAAGCCAACGACAGAACCAAATGAGACTAATCCAACAGAAAACACACAAATATAATCAATTTCCGCAACCGTTGTACACATTCTTATCACCCAATACATTCACAAATGCCCAATAAAAGCACAAATATTAACACAGTACAACGAGGGAAAGAAGGCAAAACCTGAGCACGGACGTAGCCGCAGAGAGCAAAGGTGGAGCACTGGCCAGTGTAGATGCCATGCTCATCCAAATGCCCAATGTTAATCTGAACAGACGCGTGGTCCTTGGAGGTGATCAGCCTGTTCGTCGCCGAGCTGCATCCAAAGAAACACCACAAAATTTAACCCTAAAATCCCAATCCCAAAAACAAAGCAGTCGCACAAAATAAAATCGCCCATTAGATTCGAATGGGTACCATTTCCTCGGGATGTAGAGCTCGGTGATGATTCCCTCCTCGTTTTGCATCTTGGCGGTCGAGATTATAACCCTAGAAACAAAATCCACCAAACACAGAAACGGATGTCAGAATTGATCGAATCGGCGAGGATTAGAATACTCGGAATGGAAGGAGGAGAGGAGAAATCTATACCTTTGGGGAAGTCGGAGCGGTGGCGGCAGCTGCTAGAAGTGAGAAGCTCTGCGTTTTTTAGGGTTTTCTAAAATCTCAAGGGGTTATAGCTTTTATACGAATGAGGAGTGCGACAGTGATAACTATAACACTGGGCCTGTCAGATGAACCCAATTGGCCCAAATAATTATATGCCACGGTCATATGGCGCATACTGTTCTGGACCCGTTACTGGATGGTCAGCTTTTTAGCCCATTTAGGAAGGCATGAGGATTGGGACTATTTTTGGACTTTGGGCTAGACTGGGGACGTAAGAGTCCGACACAGTGCGTTAAGACGCTTCAATTATGTACTTGGAAGGGTTAAAGACTTTTTAGGCACTGTGTTTTGGAAGAGAATTTTGTGTACGATGCGGTCTCTCTTAATTACGAGGGAATAAGCGCGGGTTCCATTAAGGGATATGTTGGGTCCCAACCTCTTAGGACCCTACCAAAAACGGGAAACGGCTCGAAAGGTCCTTTGGGAACTCTATGACAGTCTGGTACGAGCCTCAATAGAGTTTATTAATTGTTCGATGAAATGCATGCCTGATACTTCTCAACAAGGCTCGGCAAAGTGATGCTCAAAAGAGCTCAACAGATGTCGCTGGACCTCGACATCATTGCTTAGCATAGGTCGACAAGCCTCATCAGCATAGCTCGAAAAATGTCGATACGTCCACCACCTAACATAATTTGGCAAAAGTCACATTCAATCCTCTAAAAGAAGTTTTTAACTTTTACACTAGGACCTATTTTGGCCACAAAGGTGGGACCACGAGTATAGACGAATAAATTGGAATACATCGAGCCTTTTTCGTGTGTTGCACACAAACACCTAGTCTGACGAACGAAACCTTAGAACTTTTTTCCTTATTTTGCCAGTTAAGCTTGGCATGTAGTTGTAGACTCGAAGTGGTTTACAAGCATTTATTTTTTTCTTAAGAGAATAACTGGTGATAAGTTATGGTTATTCACTCTTTTTGAAGGTCAGAAAGACACACAAAGACATTTCAACCTCTTCTTGACCATGTAGCTTCCACAAGTTTGGTTTACAAGCTTGTTGGGTTCAGTCCTTGGATTTGCAGCAATCAAACTAAGCATTTGAAAGCTATTACATTCGACAAAAAAAAAAAAAAAAAAAAAAAGGATTTTACAAATTCTCCAACAACCCGATGCACTAACTCAAGTGGGAGAGAAAGTGATTTCCTTTTACAATGTCAAGGGGGAATGAATTTACTTTGCACTTTACCTAAATCATCCTCCACTCTTTTAACTTCAAATGTAATTTTCACAATGAAAAAGGGTAAAATGATTTTGATATGTGAATATTCAACTATAAATTAATTCTTTAAGCACTTATACTCAGGTTTGATTATTCAATATGAGATACTCTCATCATGCCTCTTAATATGTGATTTCGTGAGTGACATTGGAGCACATGTAGCAATTTGGCCGGCCGCATATATAACATACTCTTATGTACTGTTAGAATGAGCATTGAACTCAAAGTAAAGTGACAATGGTTGTAGATGTCTCGGAGATTTTAAACACAAAAGACTTCCACGTTTAATATGAAATACTCTTAATATATCATCTCATGTGTGTTGTCTTGTAACCCTAACACACTTGTTCAATATTATTAGTTGACGTCGAAGCACGTATTTTTTATCCGACCTAACACTCCATTTAGTACGAATTTACAATGTTATTGTTAGTTAGAAATAATATAAATGTGTTTATAAAAAAAAAGAAGAATATGAATGCCAGTTTGAAGAAGTTGATATTCCACTATAAAGCTAATTGACAATATTGGTAGTTGTCAAACTCCTTATAAACTCTTGTTAGGTTTCTCTTTCTACCAATGTGAGACTTTTTTACCTTCACATCCTCACACATTCTCTCACGTGTGACGAATTTTCAGGCTAAATACGTGAACAACACGAATTGGATGACGTAAAACATGCATGACCGTTAAGCTTTACACGTGAATCAACATATTCTGATATCACGAAGAAATTAAGGTTGTAACGTTATTATTTTTGTTTAATCATGACAGCTCCCAAAGATAAAGCGTGATTAGTGGATGTCCATAAAGTCATTGGCATTCTTAAACTTGAAGGCAAAGACGGTGAAGTGGCATATCACTGTAAATAATCCCAAAACAAGTGGCATTTCCTCTCCAAAGGTCACTTATAAGGCCAAACCACTCCACAAACCCAGTTCCTCTAAAAAAGTTCATATTTTAGACAAAATCCCCAAAAAAAAATGGGAAGCTCAAGAACAAGAACTCCATCACTCTTTGGCTGCATCTTAATCTGTGCAATCCTGGCCGCCCATTTGGTAGCGATTGCTTCGGCCGTTGACTTCAGCGGCGGCAGCGGCGGCCACCAGCTGGGCGAGTTGAGCTGGGGTTCGATGAGATCGGCGGCTGGGGGACTGATAGCTGACGAGGACGAGGATGCGGAGATGCTGATGGACTCGGAGATCAATCGGCGCATCTTAGCCTGGAGGAGGAGGTACATTAGCTACGGTGCGCTGAGGAGGAACACTGTACCCTGCTCGCGGCGTGGCGCGTCCTACTACAACTGCCGACCCGGGGCTCAGGCAAATCCCTACCGTCGCGGCTGTAGCGCCATTACTCGCTGCAGGCGCTAATTTCAAATTTTATTTTTTTAAATTTAATTTCCACCTCCTTTTTAATTATAAAAAATTTATATTATTTACGGTCTAGTGAGTGATTGTGTGTTATATACCTGAAAAGATTTTAATAAATGTTGTAATATTGTTGCTCTTCCATTTTGTATTTTTTTTTTTATTTATGATTATTTGTGATGAAAATAAGAGGAAATAATAATATTATTATTATTATTTGTGATAAAAATCCAGATTCCAGAAAACGTGTAAATGGGTTGTAAAGGGTACTTGCGGGACGTGAGATTTGTTGGGTGCGTGTGCGTGTGATCTGTATCTTTGCGGTGTACAACTGTCTTGCTATAGTGCAAACAAGACCATACAACATGATTGGATTTTAAAGCAAATGAAATGTAGATGCAAAATTTTAATTTCGGCTGTGGCTGTTTTGTGGGATATTTTTTTTGGTGTGCCCGGTCGTATAATTATGTGTTACGGGATATGAGAGATATATACATATATGATTATATATAGTTATGTACAAATTTGGGTGGATGTTAATCTAAAGGTCGATACTTTGTAGAAAGTAATACAACCTTTACCGAAAAATAAATTTATTTGTTCATACCACACGATTTGACTTCATTTATTCATATAGTTAGTTATCAAGAGAACAAAAACAAACAAATAATTAGTTATAAACAATTGTTATGTATCAATGTTGAGTATCAATAACATCTCGCAATGTTGAGTATCAATAACAGCTCTTTCATATGCCAAATATTGAAACTAGAACAAACACTTGGAAGATATGGCTTCAATGCTACGTAGCACTAATTGGTGTTTTAGCTGTTAAATTTAATTTTCATAACAGTTAGATATCATATTTTCAACATTTTTTTAGACAAATTATAATGTTAGTGGGTTAAACTCTTATTTTTAATATTAATCATTCATTATCCGTCCAATCCAATGCACTATTGAAGAAAAATTGTGTCACGTAATAAAAACGAAAATTGTTATTGTCCAAGCGTTATTCGTATGGTGCTGGGGTTTGCCTAGGGCCACAAATCCAGCGCATTCTTATTGGCATTTTAATATGGTGGATGGATGGATGGATGGATAGTGATAATATAATGTAGGAATGGGAATCTCAGCGTCAATTGCCGTCCACATGCACTTGCGGAAGGTCCAGATCGGTGGATGTGAGAGCACGCAATTGAATTATGGGTTTCTTTTAAGCCTTTTTGTGACATACAACACAATCAAATCAAATCAACACCTCATATGTCTTTGTCGCATTTGCCTTCCATAAACAATCAACATTTGGGAATCTGGCAGGACCACAACATGATATTACGTTAGGGTGGAAAAGTAAAAACATGAGATTACATTATTCGTTTGGAATACCAACGAATATTGCCTCAGTAACGTACCAAATCTGGACAAGTACGAAGTTATGTGATACAGAAGAAGATGCTCTATCAATAATATTATTACTGGGGGAATGAGGTTCGAATGTCTGGCTTCTTTGAGAAGAGATGTACCATCAGATTAAGAGCTAGTCGATCGATAAACCCTCAAAATTAGACTCAGCCCCCCTCGTGCCAAGGTTTTCAATGATAAAGGGCGTCACACCAGTAAGACACATCATGAAAATATATGCGAGGAAATGAGAATCAAAAGGGCTTCCTACATTGCTGTCAGAAAATGACAATCAAATTTGGCCTTGCTTACAAATCCATGGAGTATAGATCTGCTCCGAGTGACCATCTATATAGTATGATTTGGATCCAAATGGAACAGCCAAACGAACGCTCAAAATCAGGCAGTAAACACACCCTATCGATTAAAGCAACACAACATGACATAGTTACTCCTTGCCTGAATCATGAGCTGACTTGGGCTCTATTTTTTGCTTCAACGAGGCTGAAGGAGATGGCGATCCTTCCACTCCCATCTCGGTTCTGAGGTCATTGATGCTCTGCTCCAACTCGTCGATCCTGCTGCCCATCTCATCAAGTGCATCAAGGTCAAGGAAACCAAAAACCAATTTAATCCAAACCAATGTGATCTATTTAGTTTTTGTATTTATAATCACAATAACAATAATACTGGTTCCATATATCTCATCGCAGTCAATGTACGAAAGAAATTACAAGTCCCGCGCAAAGAATAATTCAAATGTGATCAAGAAAGATATAGGTCAAACAAACATGGTTCCCACAACAATTAAAAGAACATATATAACCTTATTAATCAAGTATAAATATGACAGGTATCACCAATCACAGAGTCCACCAACTGAAGAATTTGACAGAAAAAAACGAAAGATGATTGGATTAATCATAATCTATAACATTCCTCAAGATTCTCACGTAATTTTCTCATACGCTGCCAAGCAAGCAAAACAGAAATCTAGGACAGCCAAATGGTCCAAATTCAAATGCTACCAACTTAATAATTTTGCTCTCTAATATCATATAACAAAACTAGTATAACATAATTCATAAAACCAGTGTACAATAATATAATGATCAATTTGAAATTAGCAAGCAATACAATAAGGATATTCTTTGTAATGATGGGGTCGGACATTGTCTAGAACCTGGATTGCTGCACAACTCAAAAAACATAAGTTACACAGTCCATTGGACTTCATTTCAATTACAAAACGTCCCAAAATGTATGACAAACTCACCATCTGTTGAAGAAGATTTTGGACCTGAAAAAACCAAACAAAAGAGTATAAAACTCACCATCTGGTGGCATTTCGATTGCTGTATAGAATTCAGCTATGAAACTAATACGCAAATGGAGTGACAATATTATGTAAATATATGGGCATCAAAACTACCAAGTATACATGGTAAACACCAATAATTGAGAAACCAAAAAAAATGCCCGCCTCTTAATATTGTATTATGGTTTTGTGAATAGTGGTAAAAACAACAAATCATCAAATTAACCAACTGCTAATCTCTTCATCGTTCAGTTTTAACTTTTAAATAATTTCCGTCATCATTGAAAGATTAGGATACCTAATACATAAAAGCCGCATAACCATCATCTTCAACATGCCCACCACTCATCCATATGGCCATATAGAAGTAGTACAAATTAATTTAACATATAAAGCGAAAAAACTAGAGCCGGAACTCACAAAAGCTGTCATGTCAGCAGTGCTTTGTTTCGGGTCATCTGTATCATCCTGCCAAAAAATAAATAGATAAGCTACTTCACCAAAATGTCATCAATAGTATAACTATTAGTACATACCATGGTGCTGGATTAGACAAAATATACAGTAAGTTCATATGAAAGGAACTTGGGAGGAAACCATTTTCAGTTGATAAATGTGAAGCGACTGTAGTTTAACTGACTTCTATTTTGACCCCCAAAGGCTACAACGGGCTGCACAGTATGGGCCCTTTCACCCAACTGGACATGTCACTGACATGTAAGCCCAGATCTTGCCCCCAAACATTTTATTTTTATCTCATCCAACAAGTTTACAAATGTGCCCTTGATATCTCATGTACTGAAGGGAAGATGAACGAACTTCATTCAACCTTTGTATAAGATTCCGAAATTCACCAAAGACAAATTTGTTCCAGAAACTCCAAACTCTAACAAATAATATTGAAACTTTTGCCAACAGGCATATCAATGCAATTGTCTGTAACCATAATATGGTAAAAGTACTTGCTCCACCCTTCTCTAATCTTTACATGTCAAGCTTCCACAAAGAACATGCATTACTTTCCCCATACACTATTATGCATAAGTTTGTGAATTCTGTATCGACATTGGACACTTTCAGGATGATAATCGCGTATGTCACACCACTGACCCACACCATTGCAGGGTCCTCCAGCCTTTACCCGATTCTCCTTACTAAAGTAGTAGAAGACACTACTGAGCTTCTCTCATTACTTGTACCCCCACTTAATAAGTGCTCCACTGGTTACAATTCAATGAGTACCCACAAGCTACCAAATTTACTGCAACATCGTAAATATCACACCATCAAGGAATCCCAAATTTATTTGAGTCTGATGAACTTTGGTTAGCAGCTGTAAGTACTCAAACTCCATCACAACAACTATAAACATGCTACCGAAAAGCAAGTACGGATTTTGCGAACAGCGAAAAGCAAGTAGTCAAATTCCATCACAACAACTATCACATCAGAACTACTTGACATACGAATTGAATTTCCAAATTAAAATTTCAGAAACAATGCAAATGTTTTCAAACACACACCAATTTTCTCAGTAACCAAACAGAACGCTAAATACAAAACGAAAATGACTCGCAAAATCGACAGAATTCAAACTTTCAAAATGCACCAGCACTCAGCCCATTTGATCCACTTAGTGAATAGTGATAGACCTCAATGAACAGTAATAGGCCAAATGCATCTCCACACCTACAAAATGCGCCGGTACCTAGCCCATTTAAAAATTTTAAATTTTTTTATAAAATAATAAATAAATAGAATAGTTTTAATTTCGGATAGGATTTTTAACCATCTTGTCACGCTACGTTTCATTATCCGAATGTACTACTTTGTGAATAAATTTCCACTAAGATTTTCAACCAATCCTGATGCGCCACGTGTCACTATCTGTTTACAATAATTTAGCCAAGATTTCGATAAGATTTTTAACCAATCACGTAGTGCCACGTGGCATTGTCCATAATCTCATCCTTTCTTTTTTTGTCCATATAAACCTTACATCCTTACATCCATCCTCGCACCAAATTCAATCATTCTTTTAAGCTCAGAATCCTTGTTCATCGTTTTCAAATCTTGAGTTCTGACAATGTCTTCTTCAAGGAGAGTGTATAAACAGTTTGAAGAGCAACATAAAAGATTGTTGGCGCAACAGGAGTAATTGGTCAATCTCGAGGAAGGTGGAGGTGAAGATGAGGCTTTTGCAATGGAGGAGGATGATGATGATGACCATAGAAGGCAGATAGCCTCACATTCCCGTCGTGTCATGAAAGTTGTGGGTCAGATAGCCAAACTCAGACGTGCCTCAAACTTCGATAGAAAAAGGGAAAGACAAGGTAAAGATCTCTTGGAAGATTATTTTATTCCCAACAACGTATTCCCTGATTATGTTTTTATACGTCGTTTTAGAATGCAACGAAGTTTGTTCGACAAAATCATGAGTGTTATTTGCAACCATGATCCATACTTTGTGCAAAAAGAGGATGCTTTTCACGTTCTAGGTCTTTTTCCTGAGCAAAAAATTACGGCTGCCTTGCAAATGCTTGCATATGGAGCATCTACAGATCAAGTGGATGAAATCGCGAGGATGGGAAAAACAATTGTTCTGGAGTCCCTAATGCGGTTTTGCTCTACAATTAAAGCCCTCTACACCAATGAGTACCTCTGGAAACCCACGTCAAAGGACATGCGAAGGCTTTTGAGGAAGGGTGAGATGCGAGGCTTCTTCAGATCAAGTGGATGAAATCGCGAAGATGGGAAAAACAATTGTTCTGGAGTTCCTGATGCGGTTTTGCTCTACAATTAAAGCCCTCTACACCAATGAGTACCTCTGGAAACCCACGCCAAGGGACATGCGAAGGCTTTTGAGGAAGGGTGAGATGTGAGGCTTCCCTGGCATGATTGGAAGCATCGACTGCAAGCACTGGACTTGGAAAAATTGTCCAAGTACGTGGCAAGGAGCATATGGCCACAGAAAATGAGCCAAAAGTATAATTTTGGAAGCAGTGGCTTCATTTGATACATGGATTTGGCATGCTTTTTTTGGTGTTCCAGGAGCTCAAAATGACCTAAATATCCTTGCCCAATCTCAAGTGTTCGACGAACTGCTACAAGGAAAAGCGTCGAGATGCACATATTGGGTTAATGGCCATAAATATGATGGAGCATACTACCTTGCAAACGGCATTTACCCAAGATGGTCAACGTTTGTCAAAACAGTGTCACATACACAGAGTGAAAAAGAAAAATACTTCGCAAAATGTCAAGAGGGGTGTAAGAAGGATGTGGAGCGTTATTTTGGTATCCTGCAAGCTCGTTGGGCGATTGTTAGGGCTGCTGCTAGAATGTTTGATATTGAGGCTCTTCGATCCATCATGATGACATGTATTATTCTCCATAACATGATTGGAGAAGATTAGTATGATTATGATGTTGTCGATGAATACGAGCTGGATACGATGAACAACTCAAAAACACGTATTTACTGTGCTCATGACCAGACCAAAGACCCGTGCAACACGAGTTGTTGGAATGAGATGGACGTTACAATGAATTGATCGTTTAGTGGCACACTTCTATGCAAGATTCATATTGGCACATAAGCTGCCAGAATGACTTGATTGAGCATCAATGAGGATTGCAACAAGGTGAAGATAATTAAAATGAGCTTGTGGTTGAAGAATAAAGTGTATTTTTTTAAGTTTATGTAATTTTATTTAGTGTGTTTTTTTAAGTTTATTTGGTGAGGTTATGTAAATTTAATTGGTGTTTTTTTTTAAGTTTATTTGGTGAGTGTATGTAATCTTATTTAGTGTGTTTTTTTTTTTTAAGTTTATTTGGTGAGGTTATGTGAATTTAATTGGTGTTTTTTTTTTAAGTTTATTTGATGAGTTTATGTAATCTTATTTGATGGGTTTTAAAAATAAATAAGAAATTACACAAATTACTAATAATAAATAAGTAATTACACAAAATATTAATAATAAATAAGAAATTACATCTATTAATAAAAATAAATAAGAAATTACATAAAGTACTAAAAATAAAGACGAAATTACACAAGTACTAAAAAATTAAGACGAAATTAAATAAAGTACTACAAATAAATACGAAATTATACAAAGTCTGTGGAGCTAGAATATGTGGTGCTAGGATCTTTGTTGCTAGGATTTGTGTAGCTAGAACCCCCTCGACTTGTTTCCGCATCTCTTGTACGCCTCTTTCGCACCACGTCTTTTTTTTTCTGATGTCCAAAAATATTTTGAATTTGGAGACAATCCTACTAGAGGCTTGTTCATAGTGTCATGATCTGCTTGAGCCATCCTTTATTCTCTTTTTCTCGATTAAGTGCTTCTCTAATCATCTCATTCTCTCGATTAAGTATTTCTCTTTGTCTCTCAACCGCCGCATCACGTCTCTCAGTAACTGCTAATATTGCTGCCATAACAGCAACTTTTTCCTTATCTCTATCCGCTTCCTGCACCATGTTCAGTTCACCTTGGCGAGCAAGTTCGTCCATATATTTAGTGTAGTCATTTTTGGAAGAACTACATTTTTTCTTTAATGTCTTTTTACCTTGAGGCCTGAGGGACTGACGAGTTAGTTGGGTCTCCGACACTTCTTCAGGCGTCCCTTCCGTCTCTTCAAATGTGTTGCCTTCTTGTTCGGCGATGTCTGCCTCTGGCGAACTGTGTAGACCCATGTCGTGCATGACAACTTCTGGACCGGTTGCCACAATTCTGTATCTAGGGCAATCTTTGACAATTTACCAACATTCCCATTTGTCGAATGATTTGTTGTGGTTCTTCACATTGTAGAATGCTTGTGCTTGTAGTGTTTATAAATGTGGGATAAAACAGTATTATAAAATGTGGGAGTAACACAAATAAATAAATTAAAATATTGATGCGGGTGGAATACATATAAATAAATAAAAATATCATCACCTGATCCGTTAAACTTGTCCCACTACAGATTATCGGAATCTTAAGAGATGGCGTTTTTCCAACAAGTAAGGAATGCGTTGAGTTTTTTCCAACGACCTTGAAGACCTTGACTACTTCTGCCGTCTTTTCCATGTACATCACAAAACGCTTTCGTAATTTTACTCCACATTTCTCGCTTATCCATCTCATTACCTGTAATCGGGTCATGAGTAGTGTGAACCCATCATTCACACAACGTAACATCTTCAATGAGCTTCCACATAGTCTTTTTTTTTTTTAATTTTTTATGTATTTTTAACAATTTTAATTAATTTTTTATAAATTTTAATTTAGGTAATTAATATGGACCGTTGGATTTGAAAAAGATTCAAATCCAACAGCCTATACGTTGACACGTGGCCAACGGTCATAATTCTAACCGTTGTGCCTTTTTTTTTTTAATTTATGGGGGAAAAACGTGGACTGTTGATCTCTATATTCGACGGTCCAGATTAAGCCACATCATTAGTTGTTGGATGTCAAAAT